TTTAAAAAATATCCAAGCAAATTCACAGTCAGAATGTACACCTGTATTTGCCAGGAGCTTGGGGGGAGAAAAGAATGGGAAATGACTGCTAATGGGTGCAGACCTTCTCTTGGGGTGATGAAAATGTCTTCATATTGACTGTGATGATGGCTGCACTATTTTGTGCTGGTGTGTGTATGTGTGTGTAGCTGTTATATAAAAAACTGGCAAAAGAGTTAAACAGAAATTTCACAGAAAATACATAATGTCCAATAAGCATGTAAAAATAAATGTTAAACATCATTAATCATCAGGTAAACATAAATTTAAACCATGACAAGATACTCCTATTCACTTATTAGAAAGACTAAAAATGTTTAAAAGACAATGTCAAGTGTTAGCAAGGATACAGAACAGGAACGCTCAAACATTGCTGGAATGTAAAATGTTACATTTATTTTGGGAGAGAGTTTGGCAGTTTATTATAAAGTTAGACACATATCATATGACGCATAACTCCACTTCTAGGTCTTTATCCAACAAAAACAGAAACATATATCCTCGTGAACATTATACATGAATATTTATAGAAGTTTTACTTGTAAAAGCCCCAACTGGAATTAATCCAAATTCTCATCAACATATAAATAAATAAGCAGACTGCAATCAATCCATCAATGGAATACTCAGCAATAAAAAGGAATAAACTACTGATAGGCCAGCATGACCAAATTTCAAAAAACATCCTGAGTAACAGAAGCCGGGCCCCAGAGCACACTCTAGGATTCCATTGATGTGAAAGTCTAGAAAAGGCAAATCTAATCTCTGGCAACAACATGCAGATGAGGAATTCCCTGGGGGTTAGCAAATTAGGAGTGAGGATCATCGGTAAAGGGCATTAGGGAACTCTGCAGAAGCAAGAGAACTGCTGCACATCTTGATTGCAGTGATGGTTACACAGGCATACACATTTAGCAAAATGCAGAACTGGACATTTAAAGTGGGCACACTTTATTATGTATAAGTTTCATCTCAATGTTTTCCTAGGGTTTTTAGATTTTTTGCCACAGGGCACATGCGCCTACCAGAAGGAGAGAGAGACAGAGAGGGGAAGTAAAAATCACCCCTACCCCCCACCCCACCCCCAGAAGGGATGGCTGTGCCACAATCTTTCTTCTCCAATCTCCTCTTAGGATTTTGGGCACCTGTGCCCAGCATGATTTTCAGGCTGCGAGGTTCAGAATTCAAAGTGCATAGTCAGCCACGTGGGATCCAGCACTTTAACTACCATGCCACCTGCTGGCCTTCAAAAATGTAGTTTTTAAGATATATATCTTTACGTAAATACACGGTACACATTCTTTGACCTAGCATCCAATTTCCAAATAAGAAGGGACTCACATATGTGTACTTGCTCAATGGAACATGACTATAATCAAATACTACAAAATTGTTTTACAATGAGGTGGACTTACACATACTGACATGGAAAAATCTCCAAGATGCAAGGTTAAGTAAAAGATGCAGGTTAAATAATACATCATCACATGTTCTCCATATGTTTAAAGTGTAACAGACAAACATCACAACCACACAGCAAGTGTTCACCTTGGGGAAAGGATGAAGGAAGACATCATGCTTTAAACTTTGTACTACCGAATCTTTTACAAAGTCTAAGTATTCATGGATTGTCTGGGTAATTTTTAAAGACTGAAAATGAAACAAGAAGTTTCAGTAGTTGTTTTTAAGGGCAGTCATCGAATTTGAGAATGTATCTTTCTTCAGTCAAAACCCAGGACAGCATTTAAGAAGAAAAGTGAAAATATACACATACACACACACACAAGCATGCACATGAGAATTGTGACTTCTGGTAATAGGTTGTACAGTCACCGGATCAATACTTTAAATAGTGAACCAGCAGTTACCGTAATGGCTATGTCACTGAGCTCCCACGTAGTCGACCATGGTTTGAGTCCTGGACCCAGTGGCTTAAACTCACACCAGGCACGTGTGTGTACGTGCCCAAGATCCCGAGAGAAGAATGGAGGAGAAAGGACTGCAGCATGGCTATCACCCCGGGGGGTGATTTCTTGCTTTCTAACTCTCTTTCTGGTGAACACACATACCCTATAGCAAAAACTTCTCAAAAATTTTTTTAAAAACTTCAATACTTAAATAATTAGTCATCCTCTAAGAGTTAACACAAGTGTTCCTCCTCAGTGAGGTCTTTCCTGGCTTCTAAGTCATTTCTAAGTCTATCATCACCCTTTAGAAGTTACCCTTTAAGGGAACCAGCAGTTAGCGTAATGGCTATGTCACTGGACTCCCACGTAGTCGAACGCGGTTCGCGTCCTGGACCCGGTGGCTTAAAACTCAAGCCAGGTGCATGTGTGTGCGTGCCCAAGATCCCGAGAGGAGAATGGAGGAGAAGGGATTGTGGCATGACCATCCCCCCTGGAGGGAGATTTCTCGCTTTCTGTCTCTCTGTCTCTGTCTGTCTGGCGAGCGCACGTGCCCTATAGCAAAAACCTCTCCAAAAAAAAAAAAAAGAAGTTACCCTTCAAGCCTGCCCCGTGGTGTAGTGATTTGAGAGAGCCAGATTCTGCTGGGTGCATGTATGTGTATGCCCCAAATCCCCTCAGGATGGAAAAATGAAAGAGAGAAGTGGGTCAAGGCCAGCAGGTAGTATGGTGGTTAAGGTGCTAGACTCTCATATGGCAGACCGCAGTGTGAGTCCCAGACCTAGAGGCTTAAAATTCACACTGGGCATATGTGTGTACATGCCCCAAATCCCAAGAGGAGCATGGAGAGAAAAGATTGTGACATGGCCATCTCCCCAGGGGGTGATTTTTTCGTAAGCACGCCCACCCTATAGCAAAAACCTTAAGAAAAGAAAAGAAAAGAAAAGAAAAGAAAAGAAAAGAAAAGAAAAGAAAAGAAAAGAAA